TATGACCTACGCTCCTAGTAGTAGTAGTAACAATAACACTGTTGCCCTTATCAATAACAATTATTCACCAACAGTAAAAGTAATCATCAGAAGAAGCATGCGAATCGAGCTTCTGATCACGCTGCAACTTCTCGTCCGCGTCTTCCTGTGCCCATGCGGCTTCCTGCGCAAACGCGTGGTAATAGACAGTAGTAGGGCAGCGGTTAGGACGGTAGAATTTCGGGCTCCATGCTTTACACTTTGGGTTGTTTTCAACTTTTGCATTGTTCCTGCTACGCTGGATGCTGATTTGCACTATTGCAGCAGCTCACCTGGCCTACTCATCAAAAATCCAATATCGCGACTGATACCAAGACGGGTTCTCCTAGCACCATTGCTTCATCGACTGTTGTTGTATTTCATAAGCCCTTCGGGCTGACTTCGAGTTCAGACCCTGCACCCTGAACCCTACACCCTGACCCTACTGTAGGGGCCTTAATAATAAAAAGAACAGGGTTTTGAGGTATATTTTATTAGATTAATAATAAGGAGCATTTACAATGGTATGGGTAAGTATGTAGGCTTCTATATTACGATGTATGGTTCCGTTCGAAAATACCTTTTGTGCTCTCCGGTGCTCGCCGAAGCTAGGTTCGTGGGCGCCGTCTTTTCAAGCACTAAACGGTTTAGGGTTTAGGGTTTAGGGTTTATGCGAGCAAATCAAAATCAAGAAACCCACTTTATTTCCTTAAACAATTAAAGTTGAATTGGGATCGTCGTACGGGTTAAACTAGCTGAAGTCGACACGCCTCAGCCCCAAAACCCGAAGCCCACAACCACGCCTGGTGTCTGTTCAGCAACTTCGTTGTGCACGGACAGGGTTCAAGGCTTCTTTTTGCAGGTGCGGCCGTGGTTATAAGGTTTGGGGTTTGCAGCTGTGGGTTGTTTTAAGGAGTTCGTTCGATGGCCGCACCTCTAAATCTGAAGCCCAAGCCTAAACAAGCAATATGAAGCCTATGAAACCCTCAGTGGCCCTATAGACCCTGAAGTAGAAGCCTGAACGTTGGAACATCATTATCCTCGTGCCCTTAAGGTATGTATGAGGGATCCTGGTACGGATCCCCTAAGCCACCCAGAGAGCCCAATACCCTTTGATTAAGGAATATAATTTAAGTCATAATATGAAGCCCCTTATAGTTTATAAAAGGTATATCCCCTTAATTAAAGGGTACAGTATTGGGCTCTCTGGGCATGTTCCAACTTTCTGGGATTCGCCGTGATATAGGTGCCTTTATAGTTAAAGTACGGTTTTGGGGGCACATTATGGTAGAACTATAATAAGGCACCCCCCAAAATAGGATTGGCAATTATTTACTTGGAGTCCCAGGGGACTTAGTAAGCCGGTTATAAGTAGGCAACTCCAGATAGGGTACTTATAACTCTACTTATAACCTACTGACTAAGTCCCCTGAGCCTCCAAGTAGGCTCCTTTTTTCCTAAAGCCCTAAACCCTAAACCCTAAATCCTAAACCCTGAACCCTAAACCCTAAACCGATGAGATCCTCCTTCTCCTTCTCGACCTCGCGAGCGGAGTCCTTTGAGGTAACCCACAGGCAAGGACTTTGGGCTTAGGGTTTAGGGTTTGGGGGTTTAGGGTTTAGGGGTGGGGTTTAGGGGTTTAGGGTTTCGGTTTTGGTTTCGGGCTTAGGGGTTTAGGGCTTAAGGGTTTAGGGGTTTAGGGTTTAGGGTTTGGGCTTTGGTTTCGGGTTTAGGGTTTAGGGTTTAGTGCTTGGGCGTTGGTGTCGGGCTTAGGGATGAAGGCTTATAGGGATTAGGGATGAGTGTTTAGGGATGAGGACTTAGGGATTAGCGATGAGGGCTCAGGGATGAGGGTTTAGGAATGAGGGTTTAGGGTTTCAGGTTTAAGGATTAGGGAGGGGGGTTTCGGGTTCAGGGATGAGGGTTTCGGGTTTAAAGTTTAGGGTTTAGGGCTCTCCGAAACCCTGAACTGCAGGTTTTCCCACGAGGGCTGCAGGGGCTTCGGCTGCGCTGCTTAATATACGGACCTTAAATCATTAGAATAGGGTTTTGGGGTCCGCTGTACTATGATTATCATAAAACGACCCCCCCCCAAAAAAAAAAATGTAATTTTTTTAGGCCCCTACATTACGCGCAACCCCCAAACCCTAGAGTGTTTGCAATTGTTGAAACCGGGCTTTCTGGCTGCCGCAGCACGACCCTCCGAGTTTTCCCAAACCCGCAAAGCCCTAAAACCCCAAACGTCCAAAACCCTAAGTCCTAAACCGGTTTTTACACATGCTTGATTGGAGCTCGCCCAGCCCTAAACCCCAAACCCTAAACCCTAAACCCCAACACCCAAAGCCCCCGTTGTTTCTGAAGGGCCCGTTCGGAACCATCCGGCGGAAGAATTGCTCAGGGACGGGGTCGGGGTTTGGGGTCGAGTGTAAGGTTAGGGTTTGGGTTTAGGGTTTAGGGGCGCTAGTTTTCATGAAAGGGTGTTTTGGGAGATATATCATAACTCAAGCAGTTCTATAACTGCCATAAGGACTTATACTCCTGGTTCTTGAGGCATCTAGCTCTCGCGCCGGGTTTTGCTTCAGCTTTGCGGGCTTCCTCACCAGCAATAGAGAGTGGTTGAGGGTTTAGGGATCAGGGTTTACGGCGTACGAAAACTGGGAGAAAGTCTCTTGGGCGCTGTAAGTCAGAGGGGCAGCCAATTCTTCAAGAGCCCATTGCGGGAAGCCATGGGACCATGTACTTATCAATCGCTAGGTCACCCCAGACCCTAAGCCCAGACCATAATTTCGAGAACTACCCATATCCCTATTCCCTAAACCCACACTAAAATCCTAATCCCTAAACCCGAAACTAAAAACTAAACCCGAATGTCTCTTCACCTTCCCCTAAACCCTAAACCCCAAACCCGGAACCCTAAACCCTAAACCCCTTAACCCAACCCTAAACCCCAAGCCCCAGACGGAGAGGCCGGCGAACTCCTTCTGCTTGCTCCGGAGGCTTGCCTGAGCCTCCCGGAGTTCCGACCGTTTGTGGGTTTGGGGTTCAGGGATTAAGGTTTAAGGGTTCAGGGTTTAGGGGTTAGGGTTTAGGATTTAGGGATTAGGTTTTAGAGTTTAGGGATTAGGGGTTTAGGGTTTAGCCGGGTTAAGGGTATGTATTGGGTACTGCTCCGATGAAGTAACAGTCTATAAGAGGGCTACTATTAAGGGCCTTATATATCTACCTTATGCAAGTGTTACTGAGTGGTGGGCGCATCGCAGAATTTGGGGCTCAAGGTAGTTTGTCAGGTGGTTAGAGATGGTCCTATGTATTTGCTTCAAGCTTGTCGTTGGATAGCAAGAAAAGCCCTCATATCCAGCAAACTTGTACCTGGTAGGTTCTTATAAGGTCCTTTAGTCATACATGGGATGCCCCCGACCTCTCTTCTCATTCTCCCCTAAACCCTAAAAACTAACATTGTGCGGCTGAGTTCTTGCCACGAGCTTCGGATCACAGCGCCAGCTTCACCACTTGTTCCACACGTCTTGTACTCGAACGGAAATCGCTGGGTTATTTTCAATCACGAACACCGGTGTCGAGGGCTTCATGTAAGGGCCATAGCATTTCGAACAGGGTTTCGGTGGGTATCTAGACTGCAAAAACCTGTGTATAGTGTATATATACACACTTTTTCCCTCTATATATATATATATATATATGTGTGTGTGTGTGTATATATATATATACACAAAAAATGATATGTATGAACCTTGAGGAATGACGTTGGCAGCTTTCCCTTGCTTCGACTTAGGGCCCTTCATCTCCCATTTTAGGGTCCCTTCTTGTTTGAACTTAAGCCGCCACGTGCTGAAGGAGGTAGTGCCTTCGAGGGGCTGTATCAACAAATTCGGTGGGAGAGCCCAGGCCTTGAGATAAACTCTCATGCTCAGACTGAGCCACAAGTGGTTCCAGATTTCGGAGCGTTTTTCGGTTTCAAGACTGCACACTGTAGGTATACTGGAGAAATGTGAGGAAGATGATTACAACAGTACTTATTCACGATGGTTACTACTTCTCAGCAAAGAACTTCAA